TATTTTACAACAGTGGTGTCATAGTCCGAGTTGTTGTGTGTGTGGGGGGGTCTAGCAGGGGCCCTGGTGGTTATACAGTCTGATCACTGCAGGAGGAAGGACCTGCGCTATCTCTCTGTGAGACACCGCGGGTGAAGCAGTCTGCTCTGTCCATTGACTACCAAAGGTATTGGACTAACATCCATCAGGTGGACATTATGTAAAGCATTACTGCACATTTCTGCTAAAGTCTGCTGGATATGAAGGCTCTGCTGATAATATGTTCGGCTCGTAGCCAATGTCAGATTTAAAGCATCAAATTAATAAATGCAGCTTTAACGCAGACGTGAAAGTGCTTTTTTTCTCAGAAATGAAGGAAGTGCATTTATGAAAAAATTATAGATTTCTGTTAATGTTTCATTTGACATCAGAAAAAGAGTATATACTGTGCAGGTCATTATAACTAAGAGCCGTATTTAACAGTTAACAATGAATTGAACAGATGGTCATTTAGAAGTAAAATAAGATGTTTTTGCAGATGTCCAGCTTCTTTTATTGCAGCAGTGCTCAGGAAACACTTCCATCATATCAGCAGTGGAGGAGAGAGAACAGACTCCTGTTGGTAAGCTGACATGTGGCTGATCGCTGTACTCATCCTTCGCATCACATTCCAGCTTAAAACAGTAATGTACTGTATGCATATTAAAAGCCATTAATACATAAGGCTGTTATTGTCACTATTATTAGTGTTGTACTTGTACAGTAGACTGGTAAAGGGTCCGTTAACTGACATTTTCCCTGTCTCAAAGCAATGTAAGCCATGAAGCTGTCAAAAGTCGTCATTTTTCGCTCAACTTGACTTTCCTCCTGATTATGTAACTTCAGAGCTTCAGTACAGATTGTTGCTCCTGTTTAGTTTAGTTTAGTTTATTTATTTTTTCCGAGCGTGTAAAACCACGTTTAACCTGATCTTTATGTATTTGTTAATGAACAATGAGCAAAACAACTACTTCAGAAAACCCTAATTCTGGGTCACTCTCAGTTGATCTGCCTGTTGAAATCCAACAAAACTACCCAGAGCCATCGGCTTTGCACACACAGGGATTTGTAAACTATGTATATCATCTTTCTTTTTTTGAGCTTTTGAAAGGAATGTGTGTAAATGTTTAATAATTTATCCCAGACACAACATAGAACAAGCCAGAGCAGATGTCATTTTAGCACAATAAGACCTCAGGGATCAGCCAGTGGGTATAAACCACAGCCAGACATATTACAGCATGAGTCAGTGTATTACCTAAAGCAGCAGATGCATTCATAAACAACAGCAGTGTGGGATCAGCTGCCTTACTGCAGCACTGTGTTTTTTAAAGTAGTGGTAGCATAGGCAAATCTGACGTGATTTGTTTATTTGGGGATTAGATTTGCCCAGAGTGCTCTCTAAAATCTGGATTAAAGACGGATGTGCGTCACACAGGAAGGTTGTGTCTGATACATTATTCTTGGAAGTTATGAATGTTTTCAGTGAAGCTGCCTCTTAGCCATTGATGTCTTGAAAAAGACAGAAAGAAGGAACTTGACAGCAGTGTTGCCCCTGGTGGTCCGATCTTCAAAGCAGTAAACCAGGACTCATTTAAATGTGTGTAAGAAGGTCTTTATTTATGAAATTTGCTGTGAAAGAATTACATTCTGAGCATTTTCTGAAAATGAAGATAGAAGTGATGTTGGTAGGAAGCTACTGTAACGGATGTGCAGGCGTGCTCATCTTTCTGTTTTTGGTTTTGCATGGAGAAATCAAGTAATATGCTGTTATGAGAGTTTCATTACAAAATGATATGCACCATTAAAATAAATATATAGCAATCACAATAGCTTTGGCGAATGATTGCTGCCATTAAGCTGATACAATGATAGTTACTGAAAATGAATCAAGTCGAGAACTTTTGTAGTAGTTAGGCGTTTCGCCCAATGTGAATTTTCACTTCTGGCTGAGAGCTAGATGAAAGATCAATACCACCAAATCTGTGGAAAAAGTGTTGAGCTAGAGCCTAGAGTTGCTTAGCTTAGCTTAGCATAAAGACTGGAAGTAACCTAGCCTGGTTCCTGCCTGTGAATCACCTCAAACGTGTTAGCTAAATCCAATAGGTCTGGTGCTGTGCTCCTTATGGCTGCCTCCTTTGGTAACCTCCATATTAAACAGAAGTGGCATATAAACACAATATCAGGCTAAATAAAGTTTGTTTTTCCCTAAGTGTCTTTCTACATCTCTGTTTGATTAAAGAAATTAGATCAAACATGGTAACTAATAAGCTTTAGTGGTGTTGATGGCTTCTAGCCTTTATGCTAAGCTAAGCTAATGATCTCCATGGTCAAGCTCTGTATAGATATGATATTAAAGCAAATATTCTCATCTAACTCTCAGTAAAGTGAAAACTCCCAAAATGTCGAGCCATATCTTTAAGAAAGTGATATTTTTTAAGGTAGAATCAGCCTTTGAAATACTGACTTTTAAAGTGGAAAGAATCTGCAGAGCATCACTGCATTGCTAGCCTAGCAATAGCTTTAAGTTGACTATTTCCCCACATGATTAAACCCTAATATAATTATGCAGTCAATATGCAGTCTCAACTATGCAAGTACTTAAACAAAAACATTACAAAACAAGAATACAACCATTAAACCATGTTGATGTATAAAAAAATGTTCATTTTAAGGCGCTTCAAGTTGGACACATCACTGTTAAAGCTTTCCATGTTTTTTAAGTCCTTCCTAAGAAATATACATAGAGTTTTCCACATCTGTAGCATGCATCAAGCAATTTTCTATACGAGCCCTGTTTCCTGCATCTCTGCAAACTTCAGGTATAATAGCACATGGATCTATTGCTGCACTAAATTAAACAAATAAATATCAAATAAAAGAAACTGAGCAAACCAACAAGCTGTAAATGCATAAATACATAAGATTTCTGAGCAACAGTTGTGTGTTGTGATTTAAAACTCAAGCAACATCCGGTGTCGTCCTGGCTTTACGGGATGCTTCAGTTTGGAAATGCCAACAGTAGTCCATGTGTCACACAGCGCAGCAGCATTACTGTCACTTTCATTGAAATGTGGTCGCGGTAGTAGGAGCGCCATTATGAAAAGAGAGCGTGGTATTTACAGTGGCGACTGGTCATTAGGGGGACAGCACCACCTAGTGTCAGCAGAAAGTAATTCAAATAATAATTCCAAAAAAATGCAAATAAATGCAAAAAATAATACATCTTAAAATATATTTTAAGATCATGTTTAATCATCTGATTCGTCTGTACATTGCTGTTTTAGTCTGTGTTCTTCTAATTAGTGTCTACAGTGTGCCTATTGAGCCGTTTTGAGCGACGCGGGTCAAGCCCCGATCTAGCCCTTCTCTCTCACTGTCTAAGTGAATGGGTGCTGTAAAAACGACACTGCACATGCTCAGAGTATTTTTCTATTCAATGTGTGCGGCAAAAAAATAATCACCATAGGGACATTGTGAAGAGGAGACGAGCGAGAGCAGCGTATAGCGATTCAAATCAGTAAAACGGAAAGAAAATGAATGAAGTTGACCATCTACATCAGCTTTGGTAGGTTCATTTTATGTCATATCTTTTGTTGATCTTCTGTGTTTTGCCTATAGGCTATTGCTCTGCTGGATCGATTGATATTGTGACCTCTGTGATGAGTGTCTGTCTGTGCTCTCGACACATTTAGTGATGTGACTCAGTCAGATTCAGAGGTTACAGAGGCAACGCAGACAAATTATCTGCTCTTATTAGTTTCATCATGAACATCTTCAGAGAGGAGAGTGGTATTTGAAGTCTGGATGGGGGCTGGTTCCACAAAGATTGGACTAGCTCAGATCAAACAGTCTAACTTCAAAAAGGCATATCAATTCTTCAGTTGTGCAAATCTTTCCTAATAATCTGAGTGGTCTGTGCGAATGGCCTGTATTCACCCTGACACATGACACTTCAAAACACAGAAGGTTTTCTCAGGAGTTAATGGAGACCAAACCGGAGAGAAGGACATACATTTGGCGCTTTACAGAAGTTGTTTTGCCTAAAATATTTGCTAATATTGCTCAGGACCTACTTTAGGTGTTAAAAGGCAACTAAGCAAATTGGACAATATTTATAAGATGACAACATGTTTGTGTTTTTCAGCTTGCTTTAAAGATCATCTTTATCCTTGTCTTAGATCTGTATTTACAAGACAATTCTCCAATGTATTTAACAAATTAAATAGATCTGGTGTCTTTATCATAACAGATGTTTTGCCCCATTGAAGAAACAATTGCTCAACCTGAGTTCTGTTGCCAGATTAAGAATGGGGACCTCATATATACAATCATGACCAGCGACATAAAGGCAGCCAGAAATGGCAGCAGGAGGGTGATATGCACGCAACTGTTCAGGGTGACAAGTTGATAAGTCAACAGAATGAACAACCCTTAAATCAGCGTGTTTCAAACATGATGATATCTGGTGGGCAGCTCTAAAGATCTACATAAATCATAACAAAATGGAACAGACTTTCCTGCTTAAATCAACATATGATGTGGCAATTTGCACAATTTTACACTGCTGACGTGTTGTCTCTGTAACCACTAACAACGATTTCCATTTTATTTCAAAGCACTCTACCATTATCATGACCATGGCAACAGTAATTCAACATTTGTATTGGTTTATTTTGTATAACTGTCATTAGACCAGTCAAGGTGCAAACTTGTGCAACCAGCCCCCACGGTATAATTAGTGTAAATATGAGTTGGGATGTAATTATGTAAAGGAAGAGAAGCTGTATGAGTGGTCCAGTTCAGCTGTAAACTATGAGTTGGAGATATTCACACCCAGAAGTCTCTGATGTTGTTAAGCTTCACTGCCAAACTAGTTGATCCACCTGAAAATGCAGAATGGAAACAACTGTATCCGTCTTCTAAAGTCAACGATGGGTTTCGGAGTGTTTTCTTTCGCTGCTATAGTTTAGGGTTAAAAGCAGACACTCAGCAGTACACACACCAGTAGATCAGGTTAAATAGGACGTATGCGCCAGGGAAGATCATGCGAGAGGAGGTATCGATGGCGTGGGTGTTCTGGATAATCCGGAAGCCCTTCTTCTTCTTGGTCTCTGTAGGCTCGTTGTCCAGCGAGAGATGCACCACTATCCGCTCTGGTTTTTCCGATGCATCATCAGCCGCCATGGAGCCCCGTGTGTACCCCGCCAGGCTGTTGGCGTCCGCCTCGCTGTACGTTCCGTCCAGCATCATGGTTCTGCCGTGGGACATGCCACAGGTGCAGGGCAGGTTCTGAGACTGAGCAAAAGAGAGGAAAGAAATCAAGATTGATAAAGACTAATATGAATTTGAGACGTACAGCAATTCTGAAAAGGTCTCTGTACCTGTTCCCTGGCTTTTTCTCTGAGCTTACGGTCTTTACCGTCCCTCACCGTCGTCAGGTAGTTGACGGCAGCGTATTCAAGCACCGACAGGAAGACAAAGACGAAACTGACCCAGAGGTAAACGTCCACAGCTTTTATGTAGGACACCCTGGGCATGGAGGCGTTGACTCCAGTGATGATGGTGGACATGGTGAGCACCGTGGTTATACCTGAGGAACACAAAACATACAACTTCATATGAACATTTGAAAAGCAAACCACAGACATTTCTTTGGGGTGCTGCGGCTTTCCTAGGGTGGCTTCAGAACCCCCAGGTATTTTTCCTGCACCACCTATAATTCTCGAATAAGGAGGGCAAACACTAAACACAGTCGAAACTAAAATATAGGAGGAGGAGGTTCCCAGACAAAGAATGGGAATCAGTGATTGGCTATCTCTATAAACATTCTCCATATGTAGAATCTGACCATAACAGGACAAGATTTTGGTATTGGAAGCATTCTGGTTACCGTTTGTAATCTCCAAGTAGTTTTGACCAATCATGTTGGAAAGGAGTTTGGTTGCATTAAGGTGAACGACAATAGCAGAATAGTCAGAATAAATTGGCTGTGATGCTTCAGCTATCATCTGATAGCTTTTGTAGAAATTGTCTTTCAAGTCGGACCATAAACAAAGACAGGAGCTCAGAAGGAGAAGTATTTGATCGGATATCCATTATCCGTCCCTTGGATATCAGCTAGCTAGGCTTTATCGTCGTCATATCGATAGCCAATGAGTTTTGAGATTGTGAACGCACATTCACAGCTCAATCATGTTTGCGTCTTGACTCCAGCTCCATACTTAACGAGGACATGAGAATGATATTGATCGTCTCAACTCAGGAAGACAGGAAATAAGTACATTTCCCAGAATGTTGAACTTGTCTTTCAGTTTGATTCCCTCGCAGCTCTACTGTGCAAACTGGTCCATGCTCTCAGGTCACTGTGATGTGTGATGGACACAAATAATGTTTGAACAGGAAGGGTGGTCATTGTGTTGCATATCTTCTCACCTAATGAGACCCTGGCAGGGACGGCCCTGCGGTCGATCCAGAAGGACACCCAGGACAGCATGACCATCAGAGTGGCAGGAAAGTAGGTCTGCAGCAGGAAGAAGAAGATGTGGCGCCGCAGGGTGAAGTTGATGTACAGACGGTTGTACCAGCCTGGAGGAGAGAAGAAGTGAAATAAAAATAAATGTAATGTCAGAGGGTAGAACAAAAAAATGGTTTACTAAAATTCCTCGATAAACACAGAGCCAGAGGTGAAATTTCTAATCCGCACAGGATGATAGAAATGTGTATGAGTTTATAAAACCAAACCAAATAACATCGTAATAGAAACATATATCTGTATTTATGACAGCAGGGCACAGCACATCAAAGTAGCAAATGGAAGAATAAACAGGGAGGGGAGTAAAAGAAAAAAATACAGAAATATCCCAATGGTGTATTTCACACCAGTGTGGAGTTCAATCAATCAATTCATAATTCATAATATTTAATAAAGAAGTGCTAACTAATGGAAAAACGTCCTTTAACAGCTTAGTTGGAATCGGGTCTAAGATACACGTTGATGGTTTAGAAGAGAGAATCATTGAATTCAATTGTTCAAGGTTTATGGCTGAAAAGCATTCTAGTTTACTATCTAGTGTAATATTAGAACTTACGTTTCCGGGAGCTGTTGATAACACTATACTGGTCAAAGGCAAGAGGTCATTAATTTTGTTTCTAAGAGTAACAATTTTATCGTTAAAAAAGCACATAAAATCATTACTACTGAGTGCTATGGGAATAGAAGGCTCAATAGAGCTGTGGCTCTCTGTATTAATGAAGAGTAGTAAGCTGCTCTCGCTTTACGCAGTGCTTTCTTATATTCATTGAGAGTAATATGCCAAATTAAACGAGATTCTTCAAGTTTAGTGGAACGCCATATCCTTTCAAGTTTTGCTTTATTTTGCGGGTTTCGGCATTATGCCATGGAGCTAATCTATGTTGTTTTATTTTCTTCTTTTTCAAAGGAGCAACAGTGTCTAATTTTATTCGCAGCGCATCTGTAGCACTATCAACAACATGATCAATTTGGGGTGGTGTACATTTTGTATAAGTTTCCTCCCTTACATGCAGACATGCTATCGAGTTAAGTATTGGTGGAATCTCTTCCTTAAATTTGGCTATAGCACTAACAGATAGGTTTCTGCTGCAGGAACTTTTGAATAATGGTTTGTAGTCTAGTAACAGTACTTCAAAAGTTACTAAGAAATGGTCGGATAAAGCAGGATTATGCGGTTCGACCAATAGTTGATCAATTTCAATACCATAAGTCAGAACAAGGTCGAGAGTGTGATTATAACAGTGGGTTGGTTTATTTACACTCTGACGGAAACCAACAGAATCTAATATAGAGTTAAATGCAACAGTAAGGCTATTTTTATCATCGTCAGCATGAATATTAAAGTCACCTACGATAATTACTTTATCTGTTTTAAGTACCAAAGTTGATAAAAACTCAGAGAATTCTGATAATAATTCTGAATAAGGACCTGGTGCACGGTACACTGTAACAAATAAGATTTTCTAGGTCGGATGCGTAAGACTAAAAACAAGGCTTTCAAAGGAGGTATAATAAAATAAAAGACCGTACAGAACCATTTCCCAGCTCTCCTGTGCGTTCAGTGCACATCTCACTGTTTGAGTAAAACCTAGAGCAAAGCCAAACAGTCAATTTCAGTGCCTTTACATACAGTAAAGCTGCACAACGTTTAGCTCGGGGAACAACTTTTATTTAATGTACTTATATAATAAATATCTGTTATTATTTTTCAACCCCTAGTAGCACCGTGTTTCACCATGGTAACTGTTGTCAGTGTGTGCACGGGGTAACCAGGACAGTGCTTCTCTAAAGACGTTGCTGCTGAATATAAATATAATTATTTGTTTAAAACGACACTTAACTCAGCTAGGGTGGAGATAGGTTTTTTACTTCTTATTTGAATTAAAATAGGAATATGGAATGACATACAGTATATTTAATCAGCTTTTAAGACTTTGGTCAGACACCACATTATGTGCGCCATAATTGTCCTATCCCATTTCTCTTTAATATGCTGTTCCTTTCACAGCACACATTTTCACTTGTCATGGAAGTGCTGCTAATGGCATTAATGATGGCTCCACTCTATTTAAGTGTCCTAGTGAGTGACACAGAAAAGGATCCTAAAACTAATCTCCAAGTTTTAAACTAATATCTTTCATTATTGTTATTATTTACACCTGGCATTTCCACATTTGTTGTCACACGGTGAAAATATGTATTTGTTGTTTACCTTGCTCACTCAAAATAGAGAAGACTAGCAAGCTGAGTTAGACGGATAATCATCTAAGAAGTGAAGTGAGGACGCAATTTGGATTCAACACCATAGAGGGAAATATCGTAAGTAAGTTTGCTGCCTTTATCGTAAATATGTCTTAAAAATAGAAACACTTTAATTCCGCAATACAGGCATTGTGGCTTCCTGCTTTGCCTTTGTCATTTATATTCTTTTCTTTTCAAAATGCTCAATTTAAATAAGTTTGAGTTTCTTTTTTTTTTAAAGCCAAAAATCTGGAACATTGGAAATGCGAGGACACGAAAGAACAACTGATTATTCAAAAATAGAGCGATTGCAATCATAGAAGAAGAAACGTGAAGCACCACACCATCTGAGTCAGAGACAGGGAAGAGTTCAAGCAGATTGAAGATCTTCAAGTCCAAGTCAAGACCAAGTAAGTAAAATGGTGAAAAAAACATTATATCATTGTATATATGTTTAATTTAATTAAATATTTGCAAAGAAACACTGGAAGTATATGACATGCAATTGCCAGAGTGCACAAGACAGCAGGTGATATGAAAGCATGTTATGCTAAGTTCATGTCTTTTTCTTTTGCTCATCTTACTGAGGTTCAACTCCAATGCAGTTACTTCAGACTGTAATATAGGGGCCTAATGATCCTATCAGCAGTGAGCTGAAGGGCCCTACTAATTTCCCATGTGTTGACCAACTTAGTTTGTTTAAGAATATGCACAAGTAAGCATACATTTAACTGATATATTAATATTAAAAGTAGATTTTGACTAGTGGCCCCTCGACTATGCAGGATTACGGACATACAAACGGAAGTCCTTTCGATTTCCATTTATATTAACCGATTACTCAAATAACTCCATACCAAAGTCTGCATTTTTGGCCTTTGGCTAAACCAGCCTCAGATAAAACACTCCACTCAGCATTATGTGGGCAGCGTACCTGTGCTGCTGTAGAAAGCCAGTCTGGAAGAGGTGTGGAACTTCTGGATGAGGAACTGAGACAGAGAGATCCTGTCGTCGGTGCTCAGAGACTCATCACCGCTCTTCCAGTACAGCATCAGGTCTTCATCTGTGTAAGCATCTGAAGGAGAGAGCAGGGATGTAAGTGTGGCCTGTACCGATAATAACTTTACCCCTGATACTTACAAAATGAATAGGCAGTTTGGCCTTGTGGATTTATTGTTTATCAGTGCCTTTTCACTTTCCATTAGTGAACTTGATCTTTTTGAACCCTTTCAGACAGTTCTGGTTACAGACTTTTAATTCACCTCCCTACACTCCAATTGCAATTAATGTGAAGAGAACAAGTATGTAGTGTCTCTACAGGGACATGTCTCCATGCTTTAATGTTCAAAAAGCTCTTTATTTTGCTCACACTGCCTGTGCTGCAGCACCTCTTTTCACCCTCTGTCTGAAACCAGAGCCCAGTCTGCTCTGATTGGTTAGCTGGACGGCTCTGTAGTGATTGGTCAACCGCTTAGAGATGTCCCGCCCCTTAGCCTTTCACGTGTGTTGGAGCGCTAGCCAATAGAATGCTAGTGTTCAACAGTGATGTCACTATGTTACTGACAAAGGAGTCCAACGGAGACAACAAAGAGATTTTAGCATTTGCAGACCATTTACATGCACACAAACCTACAGAGCACACTACAGGAACGGGAAACTCCAAAGAGCATTATAGGCCTCTTTAACTTAAAAAACCCAGCACAAACAACACATTACAAATTATTTTACTAACAGAATTTGTTATATTTGTTTTCAAAAGATATCACACATTTGAATTTTTAGGAATGCTTTTGGCCACAATAGTTGTTTAATGATAGTCTGAAATCAACATGCTGCTGTGGATGATGTTAATTACATCTATGACCGGCACCTACCTCCTACTGACAACAACAGTAATGAATAACAATTCAGTGATTTGACTCAATGTGGTGCTGATTGAGGCAACATGCTGCACATATTCTTTGGGCCCTTTATAATTACTGGCCCTTTATTTCCCACAGCAGTAGAGTGGAGTGTGTGTGAATGCTTACAGCTCTCCAGCTCCAGCGTGCACGTCTGCGAGTCCAAAGGGAAGCGACTGAAATCCATGTTGCACGCAGCAGTCACTGTGACCCTGGGGAAACAGCAGAGTGTTAACATCACCACCAGCTCTGGGCCGGCTCCAACAACGCTGCCAAGTGGCATTTAGTCAGTGTGAAACAGCCCTGTGATGGCACATATGAGCGTGTGTGGGGGGGCTTCCTGCTGGTGTCCTCACCTCAGGCTGTACAGGACGTGACCGTCAGGGAACACCCGCAGCATGATGTTTTCAGTGGTGGTGTCGTGGATGAAGGACCTCTTGGAGTGGACGAAGAACACATCGGGCACCCAGATCTTCTTCACCAGGCGCCCATCAAAGGTCATGCTCTTGTTGGTGGTGCTGGGGAAGGCCAGCCTCTCGTCCTTCCAGTAGTGCCTCAGATACAGGGTCATGGTGAAGTCCTGAGGCAGCGGGGGAGGGGCGACAAGCACAAACAGCCTCTGGATTAAGTCGCACTACAAGGACTCACTTGCTTGCCACCTCTGGTTTTTGAAATTACTCTGGGATTACACTGGCTGCTGGATTATATAGAATGCTTATGACTAAACATACACGGGTAAGAGAAGTGCTGAACATATGCTACCTAAGCTTCCATTGGTCCTAGATTACCCTTGTCTTCTCGCCTCCTTCCCCTGTTGCTATGCAAGCCGGAGTGACCCTGTCTCTGCACTACTCAGCCCCCCCCCCCCCACACTCGGCTACAGAGATCATCCCCCATGCCACTCTCCTCATGGCATTACATAAGAGCAGATCCGTTTGGAATAATGTCTGCAGCCGCACATTGTACTCTTGGCAGCCACCATACGGCACCTTGATGTTGCGTAAAATGAGTTCAGGGGCATGTCTGAAGCTCTGAATGAGTAATCACTGTAATGTGTTATACCTTCACTCATTTATTTATTTATTTAATCGATTATTTGTTAGGGACAATGCACAGTAATGAACACTTAAAACATTAAAATGTGTCAAGCGTAACAGTGCCAGATTTAGCTTTGAGCTGTTTTAAAGTGTTGGGATTGAAGTGTTCTTGACCCCATATATATTACTGCCAGCAGATTAGCTCTATAAAACCACAATTTAATTATAATGTAGCTGAAAGCTGAATTTCATAATGCAAGACTATTGAACCTTTGAAAGAAGAAATAATTCTGTTTCTAAGAAATGAAAAGTTGAATGTATTAGCTGATGGAGTCACCACAGGCTACACTCTCACTGCTACACTCTTGTTCTGCTGTAACCTGCAGGGTATCACCGCTATGTTTGCTAGCCTTTACAAATGTGTGTAGAAATGGCTGTGTAGCTGTGTTTTTGACTCTTCTCTACTTTTGCACTGTTACAATACATTTCAGCAATTATAATTGTATTCTTCTATTTGCGACAACATTTTAAGTTAATAAATGATAATTACTAACGATTTGATTTAGATATAAATGTAGACATTTCACTAACTTCATGACTCTTCTGTGGGCTCCTGTTGTGCGTTATTTGAGCATCTATTATCTTACTGTACCACAAAACACAGAGTTATATACACCAGCAAAACCCACAGTACAGACTAGTGGTATTTTCCCTTCGTCATCAAATACAATGCACAAACTCAAACCAATATATCCTGTATATCATAGCCGGAAATATCTTCCTACTCTGTGCTGTGAAGCTTCATACAGAAACACATCAATGAGCCTCACTGCTGCACTCTGACATGTTCCTTTATTACCATGAACACATGCTGAGTTTATTTTCACTCAATCTCACACACACTGCTGCTGTAGCTGGAAATAGTCTCCACAAACATTTCTAGGCTCTGCGTATGCAGCCTTAGCGCATGTATAAATAACTGAATCAACAAAATAACATATGCATCAGTAATGGAATGAAAAAACCTACAGTGGTCGACAGGTGCAAACTCTTTACCACAAACTAACACACTTCCATTAGGAGAAATGCGCTGCAATTTCAAAACGATGCAAATATGAAAACACAAATGTGCCAAATCACATGCAAATGAAAGAAACATCTTCACCAAGTTGGCCAATTTTATAATCCCTGAACGTCACCAAGCGCTCCGGTCCCAGCTGTGTGCGTCCCCGTTTCCGTTTAGTTTTTAGCTGTGTTTGCAGTTTCAATTATGCAACATTTTTAGTAATTGCTGCACTTGTTTCGTGAAGTTTGTGATTGTTTACTAAATGCTGCGCATGTGTTGGTGAAGATGTTTCTTTATTTGCATGCACCTGTCGGCCACCGTAGAAACCTGTGCCTTTATTTCATTGCCAGTTTTGAAAGGGGGAGAAAGATAGGACGACACGTGGCAAATGGTCCCAGGCTAGATTCGAACCCTGGTTCTCTGCATGGAGAGGCATCAACACTCATCACTTTCAACACATCGGCCCACAGTGGGACTCTTTTATTAGGGACGTTTGCTTTGACACTGTTATGAAACATGAACTCTTCTGTTTGTTAGGGCTCTATCGTTCATTAGGGATAAGACACAGATAGGAAAGGACCCTTACACTTTAGTTGTTGTCTCTTAAAAAGTGTACACAAATGAGTTTCTGATGTTATATTTGCAAATCTCCTGTCAGATAGCTAGAATTCATTTTGAGTGTTTAGTTAGTTGAGCTAACTATATCACTATATGATACAAAATAGTTGTCATTCAAACTTTGTTAGGTAGATATAGACATTTACAAATTGTAGATAAAACTTTGTATCCAGGCTATCATCCTTCCTACCTTGCCACAGCCCCTTCCTCCTGATGGATTACGTTAAATGCTAGTAGTCAGCTGTTTTAGGTATACTACTGAGCTACTGTAGCAAAAATGTAAACAACTTCTTAAACTAATCCCTGCTTGAAACCATTGCATTACATTTGCAATACTACACAAATCCAGATGAAATACCTAGTTTTTAGTGAGTCCTATTAACATCGATATGTTTTGAACCCGTTTCCCTCCCAATAAAACAGCCAAGAGTGTTTGCTGCGTAACTGTTAAGCATCCTGCAGCTTTGTGATATGACATAATGTCATTAAGGGCGGCCGTCATCTGGAATCATTCATTTTTACCCCCCCTGTTCCAAAACAATTAAATACACACTGGGATTCAAATTAAATGTAATCCTTGGCTGTCCTTGGAAACGGGAGCTTACACAACATCAGGACAGCAGTTCAGATCCAATTTATGGTTCCAGGACAGAAGGTCTATTTAATTACATTAATCAACATTCAGTCTGGGTTTGAGCAAAATAAACAATTCCTACCATTGAGCTTTCATAATCTGATTCTGATTATCCAACTGAAAACAACATCTGAATGACTCAAAGTTCATCTGCCAGTACAAAGCAGAGAAGCCTTCTGATGCAGTGTCAGAACACAGTTAACCGCAGAAAACTTTAAATATAGGAATAATCTATATTCCGGCTCTGATCTTCAGTCACAAACTGGGACTGAGAAGGGTGTTCCCACAATCTGAGTCACTGTTGCTCATGTGTCCATCCTCACGCTGCTAATGGAGAACGTTCCTGCTCATTAGCCTCCGTGTCTGAGTGGAGCTGCTCCATGTGTTGGAGCAGTAGGAGCTCCATTGTTGAAGTCAGCAACTTTACTGAATCTGTCACAGATTAACTGCTACATGCGCTACCAGAGACATAATCCGCTGGGATAGTAGCAGTAATAATGACATCATATTTTGTACATCCTGTATAATCTCCTTACTTTGAGGTTTCTGTTGGTCTTTGCGTCTAAGACAGAATGACTAATTCTGTAGTTTAACATCACAACTCAATGTGTATTCCAATAAGTGTCTGCAGATTTCAATTATTTTTGCAGATTACATCTACTACATTATTTGTAATCCATTTCCCCCATAATCTTACATATGGCGTTCAACACATTTAAGCCACTTACCATGTCCACCTCTGATATGCTGTCCAAGCTCTCCACCTGGACATCCACTCCAACAGGGACAGCTGGACCTGCAGAGGAACACCACACAGATGACAGTTTCTGACCATAAAGAGTGCCTCAGACACTTTGAAACATACAAACAAAGTGTGGAATTGGATCCAAGACTTGAAGAATAAGAAGAACCTAAAGTACAGGAGTGTATAATTACTGTTATTGTCAAAGATGACTTTGATGCCTCAAGGAAGCTGGGTGACGTAGTAGAAAGAGAGACAGAGTCCTCAGACTGCTGTTCATGTCTCATGTGCGACCAAAAGTCCACGCTGACTCATCTGAAGCTACTTTTGTTATGTAACATACTAACTTAATAAGAAACATACTTATTCAAACCAATAATCAAGATATATTCTTCACCAACCGTGTTCATAGGCTAAACAGGTTCTGCACTGCAGGCTCTGACCAGGGCCGGACATTTGTATAATGATATATAAACAATGTTTTTAAAATCTTAAAGAGGCCCTATTATGCTCTTTGGGGTCTCCCTTTCCTGTAGTGTGTTATATACGTTTTTCTGAATGGTCTGCAAAGGCTAAGATCCCTGTGTTCCCTCCAGAGGGAGTTTCTCTTCCAGTTTCTCTTCTCCTCTTGTGTCTGAACTGACACTCTGAGGAAGAACAGACATTCGATGCAAACATGTTATTGGATTTGAGTAGAGAAATTATTTCACACACTGTGCAAATAACAAGATGGAATATATTGCTAAGCCACAACTAATTAGTCTTTAATTACAAAAAATGTCATTAAACAGAACACAATATTCTCATAGCTGTTCATATCTGATTGAGGGGATTATTGAAGTGCCCAGTTTGGGATTTACATTTAGATGGAAGAGTGTACTAGTACCCTTCTCATCAATAGCTAAACAGATTCACACAGCCTTCTGCCCCTGGTGTATTAAAGGCACATTGCCCGCTGTAATACTGTTAATCTGAGCAGCGTGACGTAACCGGTGGCAAAGCTGCTACCTGGGATGAAGGATATCAGCTCATGTCCGCTTCCAGCTGTCGGCAGAGTGTCCTCCCTACTCTTACTCACACCATATGCCACACATCACGTGCCAGATCCAGCAGAGCCTGAGCTCCTGACATGTTGCCTCATGGGAGAGAACAGCAGACACCTGCTGAGAGGGGGGGCACAGGGGGCCACAAGGGGGCCACAAGGGGTACAAGGGGCCACAGGCAGAACCCATTCTGCGCGGATCTCAAGACACAGAAGAGGGGAAAAAAAGACTCTCCAGAAGAGGGATGTAGCCAAAGACGGCAAAAGTACACCTATCCTTCACCAAAGTAGAAGTACAGATACTCATGTTTAAAAATACTCTGGTAAAAGTTGAAGTGCTGACTAAACTTATTGAGTAAAAGTAAAGAAGTATGGGCTTTGAAATGTACTTAAGTAAAAAGTAGCCAAGCCAAGAGTCAAGCTGGTAACTGGACCTCACTTTATATTAATAGAACATTAAAAAGCTTCTAGTTCAAATTGTAATACGGTTATTGTCATATAAACACCCATTGTTTTTTCTGTATGACATTATGGTGAAATAGGCGTGCGATGATAATAATGATGTTTTGAAAATGTATAAAGGACAGGTATTTGTGAAAAGAAATGTGAGGAGTAAAAGTAAAAAGTGAATAAATAGTCAAAAATAAATAGTGGAGTAAAGTACTGACACAAGGAAAATCGACTTCAGTACAGTAACGAAGTATTTGTACTTCACTACTTGGGACCTCTGGATGTAGCTGAGAGTTTCCAGTGCTTCAAGAGTTGGCAGATTAAGGCTGAAGAAGTGAGGCTCATGTGTTCAGGCTGGACGATCACTGAGATGTCCTGCGTGTGGGTCCGCCGGAAGATTTCCATTTGCTATTTTGAGCTGACAGCATCAGCGAATTATTCCACGTCACTGATTATCAGATGAGACCAACGAATGCGTCACAGCCCAGCCCCGCATCATAACTCCTTTTGGCCCTTTCTCAGTAGCACTTCCTGTTTCAAATGGGACATGAAGCACACTGAGAAAACTGAAACGTGACATTAATTAAATGTATTATGTCAACAGATTTCACATAACTGTATTAAGTTGAACCTATTTAAACGTAATAGTATTGCTTTCAACTAACCTAATACATGTGGAATCTGTTGACATAATACATTTAATTAAAGTCACGTTTCAGTTTTTTCAGAGTGAGTCAGCCAGTGTTCTCCCCCTGACCTCACAGTGCCACAAACAGGAAGACTGAGTATCATCTAGCCCATAATAAGTCCAGCTGAAAATGTATGAACAGGCTGTTTATGGGCAACATGCAGAAAAACCATATTGATAGTTTCACAGTTCTGCTTTCCTGAGAGCCAACGGCTTCATTTAACAACACTCACTCTTTAAAACGGAGTTATGGCCAAAGCACAGACGCGAAAACAAAGCACATAATCCATATGCATTCACAGTGTGCCATAACAACAACAGGTCAGGGTTTATTTAAGTACTGAATATTTGATCAGGCTAATTATTTGAGTCGCTGTGTATAGACTTTCATTTCTCCCTGTGGAGGAAAATTCATAATGTGTTTAATTAAGAAAGTTACAGTTGTAGGCTACATAATGATCATTAATCTAAAGATGTCAGTGTGGGGGGGGGGGGGGTTTAGGTGGGTTGGGGGGGCGACCATTCATTCTGATGGTTACCAGCAGATGTTCAGGCATATTAAAGCCTAAAATTAGGCAATGGGGGAATATTCTCCTTGTGGCAGCAGTTTCCTGAGTTTTTCATCCCTTTTTTATAACTTAGCTAATCTAATGAATATTGTGTTTATGAGCATGCATGTAGCGAAGAAAACTCGAAATAAAGGGCCAGTTCCCCCAAGCAAGTTAGTATTCTTCCATTCAACACCTGGGGAGAAAGGGAGCTACTTTCAATGTATCTACTTTTATACCGCAGACAGCACCTGGCAGCTTTATCATCATTTAACTCTAATAAATAACCCATTCCCAGTACTCCCCTCCTGGAAGTTTGCAGTGTGGGAAATTCATTTTTGGTAATTACAAGAACAATTTGTAGTGAATATTTCATGGACTGGGTCACAGAATGATGTCATAATCATTGGTCCGATAATTTCTGGTAGAACTGGGACTTAGTGCTACACTCTCTAACAGGTTGGCCCTTAGATAAATCAGACCAACATGAAAAATGAAGCTGGTGCTTCCAGGGCCCCCGGAGGCCCCGGGCAGCTCTGCTATACAAATACTTCTGTGTTTACGTGTCCAGGTTTAAGATTTAAGATGTCTGCTTCTAAACAATGGAGGTGAAGATATGTTTTGTTTGTGGTTCTCACAGCACAGGACATTTAATATAGATATATTGAATATGGGTTGATAAAACAGCCTTTGGGGGTCCGTGTTCCTTCATTTCCTGTCCCCTTTACACTGTCCACTATCTAATAAAGGCATCAAATACCCTCAAAATATGATTTAGAAAACAGCCTTAAGTTTTCAGTAGTTTGGGAAGAGATTGAAATATAAATATGAGTCAGAATGTGAAGTACTGAGTTCAGAACTCTGAGAGACATGAAAGCTGAATCCTCTGCAGGATGTGAGCAAACGTCTGTCAGTAATATCTCTCAATCATATTGACTTCTCTCTAACTTTTAATTATTTTCTTGTAAAACACTGGACATTTTAAAGTCTTCTCCCTTCACATATTACAATTGAGCCAAAAAGGAAAAAGCAGATCTTTAGTGGATCTGCTCACAAGTCATGTCTTCACCGAAGCTTTAACCATGTGAGGATGCTCATATGAAGATATTTAATATTCCAGTTATTGTTTGTATCATTTTTAATTAAGAAGACACAAGCCATACAGGTTCAGAGCCACTGATGTAGGGAACAGAGTGACTAAACAAGATGTTGATTACAGGCACGGTCAATATGATGATTAGTTGATTTATTGATTGGTCAATAGACAGAAACAATTATTAGAAACTATTTACATCATGGATTCAATAATGGAGTTCCTTCTCATTTGGATTTTAGTCAAACAAAACAAGACATTTGAAGTCCTCGTGATTGCCATTTGAAAGAGGGTGGACCATCTTTTGACATTTCGTAGAAAATCTGAGCAGATTTGGCTGTTAAGAGTTAAGACCATACATTCACTTCAATGTTGTTCCAAACTTTAGCTTGAAACATTTTAATTAGTTTGTCTCTGTTTCTTTCAAATCAACATGCTAACTTGGCCTCATGACAGTAGAATGGGAAGGGTCTGCTAGCATTAGCCACCATTAGCTAGTGGTCACACCAGACCGAGTGAGACTGTAGCATCAAAACAAAAATCATTAGTGTACTGAACAAGGGCCGTTTTTCTGATTTCACTTTTGAATGGCAAGGGGAATAATTAGTTACATCTTGTTTATTTAAATGTGTGCTGAAGATAATTAAAGGTGGGGTAGGTAAGTTTGAGAAACCGGCTCGAGATACACTTTTTGTTATATTCCATGGAATGCTCTTAACATCCCGATAGCAATGAATATATTAAATGCTTTGACAATAAATACATACAAAAATGTCATCTGTGGAAGCCGTGGTACTGTAAAAAGCACGACCAATCATTTTAGCCGGCCCGGCTAAAATAACTGGATGGCCTACCTGCCTGTCAGCCTTCCATCTGTGCACAAACTTATCTCGTGCCCTCATTGGTCATGTGCGCGTTCGTGTGTGTTGGAGGAGGGGCTCTATAAGGAAGTGGCAGATTTTCTCCAGTTGTGTATTTTCAAATTCTAGCGATCTCGAGCTGGTTTCTCAAACTAACCTACCCTACCTTTAAATGACCAGGGAAATCTTTCAAAAGTGGATTCAAGTACTCACATTGGCACACTCAGAAATGCAAGATATCTGCAATTTTCCAGGTGGCCACCAATTATGGCTTGTAAATGTCATTTTTTGTCCGTAACTACACTTTAACTTGACCTATTGAAATGATCTTGGTGAAAAATCATACATTTCTGACCACGTAGAAGCCAAATTC